TTCGCGTTAAAATTCAATACCTTATCAAACCCCGAATATATAAAAAAACCTAAAAAAATATATAGTCGAGTGTTAATAAATTAACATCATGTAAGCAATTTGCTTGAAAACGTTACTAACTACGAATACAGCCGTGCGATTCTGTTAATCCGTGAGTTCACCTCGCACTAACAACGCTCCCTTCGTCACTTACTTAATTTTACGAATCTCATGGTATTCTGTTCAGCAATTTCACATTACATCTTGACAAGCGGAACGAGATTGTAGTTTATTGTTTATCAGAATGCCAAATCGTAAAAAATGACTGCTTCACGACTGATTTGAGGGCGAAAACCGCTGTGAGAGCTCGAAAAGTGAGTTACAGAATCGCAAGGCAGAGATGTAAAATAAAGTTTTGCTGAACGATAAGACTCATTACAATCTTGTTAATGATTTGCTTAAAATTAATAAATAAAAAAGTCTATAATATACTTATATAGAATAGATAAAACACGTCAGAGACGGAGTCAAAAGTATAATAAAGTAGCTATCATGATCTTATTAAAGTATTAAACGCTTACGGAACTTAAATTAAATGACAATATAGTTTTGCACATTTTATGATAGTTACACGTCTATTAATTCATTTCATTCATTGAATGAAATGAATTAATAGACGGCATAGAAGGAATAGAATTTTTGTATCTTTTTACTTCAGCATGTTATATAAGTACATATATATATAATATAAGGACGCTACTTCCTATCACTTAAGGTGCATCAATCTCCACGCGTCGTCTACTCCATTATTCAAAGAAACCGTACCATAAAACTCGCGCGGCACCACTGAATCGTAAGACGTTAGGCGCCGTTCTCATTGAACACACCTCGTTTGTACACTCACCTAATTTAATTTGTAACCCTTGATGTTAATTTATACTCCCGCTGCGGAAGCGGAAGTAGTGGTTTTCAATAGAGTTTTAATTAAAATGTTGTAATTATGTATTGATTCTACTCCCGTCATTTATATACGTTTAAGCTAAATGATAAAGTACTCACATGCTTTGTGAAAATTAGTGAAATATATCTCTACAATAAAGCTTAAGAATAAGAGAAATAGGACTGGATATCCATAGCTGCTCCCCTCACTCTATAAAATCGATTTTTGTTTAGTTTTTTGTAATCTTAACTTATTTGACTAGGAATGTTTAATAATTGTTTTGATTGATATTTGTATGATCTCTACATGTATGTCATGTTTGCCTTTAAGTGCTTGTCACATTAAAAATTGTATTTTGTGTTTGTTTTTACCAATGTATCAGTGTGCCGAGCGTTGGCAAACTTTATATCAATAAAAAAAATAAGAGGTGTAGTAAGGAGATACTAAGATTATTTTTAATAATTGTATATAAAACAAACACAATACAAAAAGTATTATTATTTACCCTTCAGTTGCAAGAGTACTATTAAATTAGTTTAACTGACAGAAAAGCTTTTTTACAACATCGTTAGTCGAAGAAGTTCTATTTAAAAGTGTGAATTATTTTATTTCTATCTTTATTATAAATAAATATAACGGTCCGTAGAACAGAGTAACTAAATATTCTTACAAGAATTTTTAACTAGTTAAAATGTATGCAAAACAACTGCTCACGAAACTTTTCTCTTGCTTCTTATTAAACTTCACTATGCAAGTTTTAATTGCAAATGATTTTCTTGTCTCGGATGTTTAAACGAGTTTCTATGAATACTAATATCCTTACAAGAGACAAATTCAAACTGATTTCGTTTACAAATTGTGTTTGCAATGGTACAATTAAGAGCTTTATATTTAGCCCAACATTGTGGTTGTCAAGTATCTGCCTGATTAGTTTTGTTTATGAATTGTTACTATTTTTGCTGTGACTTTGTTTTTGTGGTCATGTACTTTGTGAATATGTATTAAGTCTTAGGCTGAATTTTGTCTCACGCCGACCGCACGCGCACCGTCGGCGCTGATGGTCGAGATATATGAACTTTTAGGAAGCGTTTTTGAATGACGCGTAGCTATCAGCGCGCACGGTGGTCAGCGCTGATGGCTGAGCAGCCGTACGCGTCGCGCGTCGGCGCCGCGTAGCTGTCAGCGCTGACGATCGCTAGAGCGCCTCTGTTTTCAGTGAGCGTTGTAGTGTCGAACGGAGCGGACGTCGTCAGCGTGTACAGTCATGGTAAATCGCGAAGTGGATACAGGTCGAGTAATCGACGAGGTAAGCCTGAGGAAGAAATTGTGGGATGCATCCGATCCACTCTACAAAAATAAAGATCCAAAGCCTGGGAGGACATTGTCGACACATTGTTCGAAAATACTTAAGTAATTAAAGAATTTACTTTCGTCAGCCCTCAAAGTGTCATATAACAAGACAAAGTCTCCTGCAACGGCTCTCTGCTCAATCAATGGATGAACATGGAGTCTTCGTCATCGCTGGTTTTTATTTTTTGTAGGTTGTAGGTTGGGCCGGCGACTGACAGGTCTTCTGTGCCTGACACTCGCCGTTGATGTTTTGGTTCTAAAACATACCGGTTATTTAACCATGTTTTCCTCTACCGTACGTGTGTTAAAAGCGCACTTAGAAATATTAATTTGTGTACAGCCGTGAGTCGAAAACACCACCTCAGGATTGAAATACGCACGTTCAAGCCACTAGACCAACACTATTGTAATTACTGTGTTTTCCGGTTACAAAGAAACATACGAAGAACAATTTTTCGCTTTTTGCATAAAATTATTTTCGATTAAGTAAGATGTTTAAATAATTTAACTTTTGACAGTTTTACTCAAATCTAAAATTACCTTACTTCACCAAACATACCCACACGCTTATTTCAAATTGACTTAAGATAAGTTGTCAACTTTCTTGAGTAGAATTGGCTTTTGTTAGGTTTGACTAAAAACCTGTAGAGCCTTCAACTTGACTGTATTATTCGTATATTATGTATACGGTACGATTTTTATAAATGTTCTATAAAACAGTATTCCAACATAAATAATGGCGTTCAATTCAAACCCAAAAAGAATGCATGTCTTTAAATTTCTTCAGTGACCTAGCTTTGACACACAATCAGCCTAATTTTCCCATTTTTCTTCCGAATTTCTCAACAAAAATGTCGTAAATATAACCACGTCCTTATATTCAAACTAACAAGCCTAACTGGAAACCGAACTGAATTCAAAAGCCCATTTCAGCGTGTCCTACTCGATTTGAATATTTGTACACGGGAAATTTTTCATATGAAAATTTCCCGATGGCGATCGCTCGATGGATTGCTAAAAATTCGTATTAAAATATTTTCCACTTGGATTTTCTTTTTAGCACGCCTCGCGGGATAATGATTTGTCATATATATTTTTTTCACTGATTTTATTTTTACGAGCTTACTTTTAATAATTAAATTATTTACTGATGAAAATGACATAGTTAAGTTTATTATTTTATTCATATAAGAATTTAATAATGTTATCATACTTCTATTGCTTGATGTTGACGTTGATATTTACCTGTATTTGCTCTCCTCTACTGCTTCATTAAGAAATAAATTAAAAACAATTGTAATATTGTATCTATTTTCATTGTCATAATTATTTGTATATTTCGTCTTCTTATGTGTGATCTTCTTAATATTGTTAACTTGTTTACCGTGCCGTCAAGTTTGTATATAATTATTATTTCTCTGTAACAGTTCTGTAGATAAAATACTCTAACTTATTTAAATTAAGCTATAGTGGCACGGCGTATGACTCCACGGCGTCCTGGATTTAAACACCGGTAAAAGATAATAACTGTTTCCGGTTGTGCACTAATAGTGGACTGCACACTAGCTTTAAGTATGACAAACATACTGAAATATAGAGTTAACAACATATATAACAGAATATATGTACCTTTTTTGTAAAAATATATAGACATTAGCGTGTATACTTTCAGTAGATATTGTACTTAATTAAAAAATTAACGGGGTTTTTTTATGGAAGTCAATCAAATATGCACAAATAATATTATTATCTTAATCTAATAATTATGTTTACTGGAAGGAACTGTTACTATAATAAAAAGTTTAAACTAAAGTTTCGCAGCCCCAGTATAGTTTAGTTTTGTTTGGGCTCTCTCTCTCAATATCACACTAAAAGCCAAACCTTATAGACAGCATATTAAATCGTAATTATTGCTCAATAAAAACGTCTTGTTGCATATTTTTTAATTATAAATTAATAATATGAAACACGTCGTATATGATTTACTTGACTTCGAGTCTATAACCCGTGGATAGGGAAGAAGGCTTCCACTGAGACTCTATCGCGTTCGGTCTTGAGCTTCACATTTTACCGGGCTCCAAGTCTATTCGGCTTCTGCAATTGCCGTCTATTGCCTCTCCTGCAACTGTACGTCGCCAGATTTTCTTGTCACGTGTGTGTACATAGCTGTTTTTATTTGTACTAATTTTTAGTATTAACGAATAATATCGAATATCTCTATGAACATCATTTCCAACTAGGTATGTACCTACTGCAAGATCGTTGCTGTATAAGAATTCAAAAAGCAAGTTTTTTTTTAAAATTAAATATGAGTGATTTGAATTGACTTGTGTATACCATACTCAAAAACAACATGTTAATTTATTTTTACTTTCTTGTATGTCGTAAAATAATCTCACGCAGCGCTAGTAACTTAATGGATAGAAATATTATTTATATTTTGCATATTTTTATTTTCTAAGACAAGTAAAATGTATTTTTGAAGCTTTTGATAATTTAAATAGTAATTGGAGTTTTAAATATTTTTACTGTAACAGTAATGAAGAAAATTTTTCTGCATATGGTAATCAATTTCGACTTCTAATCGAATTACATATATAACCTCGTACCAATTAAAACAAAGGATAGTCAACAAATAATTTATTGCAATATATATTATTTAGAGCGAAAGTAGAAAATATCAAAATATAAAGCAGAAAAATAATGCTGATTGATCTTATTGCGTCATAGATCAACGACTGCAGATGCAGTATCTTTGAGCATTGCAGCGGGACCAGCGGTATCCCAACGAACTGCAGACCGCACGACAAAGCTGTGCGGTACAAACACGACGGCGTGATTCCCCTGCGCGAGCGCTGCTTGATGACCACAGTTCAATCGCTTCAGATACGCCATCCGATGGAACTTCCACGTCTGAAAATAAAGGTCACAATTTAAGTAAATAAATTTTAGATTTTTCCAGGCAGTTTTAGCTGTGTATCCTATGTATAGCTAAAACTGCCATGAAATATCATGAGTAGATTTTTATATAATTTAAAATATAAAATAACGATGTTTGACCATCAATTTAATATGTGATTTAAATGTGCTTTCAAGTCACGATTGTGTCAAAAACTATAGATATTTTCTTTTTATGTGCACACCATTAACGTTTGCGTTAACTTTTATGGATGAACAATTTTTTTACTGGATAGGTAGATTAATGTTCAACAAAAACTTTTCAAGTGTCAAACACACAATAATTCTCAATTCAGCCAGAATAACTTCATGGATCTAAACGCAGTACTTTTCAAAATGCTTCAACTTAATTCGGAAATGTGCCATTTTCCTATGATGTCGCAACAAACAACAAAGGGCTAGGTTAGTATACAATCTTGATGAATTTTGAAAAGTAAGTAAGTAAATAATCTTGTAAATATAGATTTTACCTTTGATAAGGAATTTATTTTACTTACCCGCTGGAGCACTTTGCACAAAGGCGGCAAATGCAAGAAAGACAAGGGCGAAAATTGCAAAGTATTTCATTTTGATGTATATTCCTTGAATTAATTTTTCAATTGATATTTCTCCAAATTCGTGTCTATTTATATGCATTCATCGGTTGAATTTGTTATCTTTAATCTTTGAAACTTTTTTATAATCTTAACAGTTATTTCCCGTAAACATAATTATTAGATTAAGATATTATTGACTTTCATTGAAAAAATCCCCGCTAATTTTTTAATCAAATATATTATCTACTGAAAGTATACACGCTAACGTCTTTATATGTTTGACAAAAAGGTATCCAAATATATTATGTGTTATTAACTTTTTATTTCAAAGCTAGTGCGCAGTCCACTATTAGTCTGTATCATACGGAAACAAGTATTATCTTTTTATTAGTATCAGTATTTCAACCAAGAACCTGGAATCATAGGCCGTGCCACTCTATCAACAAAGCGTTATACAAATTTATAATATTTCTATATGATTATTCCTATTTTGATCCTCGTTATCTTAATTCTAATAAATTTTACATTCATTTTAATATATGTATTTGATTAGAAAAAAACCAAAGCAATATCACAAAATCCCCAGAACCCAAAAAAATTTAAAAGTTATACGATTTCAGCCTTTGAAAGGAGCTAAACATTTGAGGAAAGTTGTTAATGAAAATCGCAAGGCTTTTGGAAACACGGTCGATATCTACCAATAGGCTTGATGCTATAAAATGAAAAATTTGGAACACGTATATTATTTCAAAAACTTCTTTCGATTTTGCGCAATAACACATATTTCTTTGTGTTCATTATCAAATTACAATATGGAATGTGGTATTAAAGAAAATAGGATTTCCGTCATTGCCTTGCACAAAGTGGGTATGGAGCCGTTGGTCATATTCCAGACACTTTAAAAGCTTGGTATCTGCCGTATGTTCGTATATCGTGCTAGCAATAGATACAACAACACTTCGTCTGTCGAAGACAAGAAAAGATCGGGACTAGACCACTGCCAGTCTTCAGTTCTGACAAAGTCCGAAACGTTCGTTTCCAACCAAGACTGCGTAGACCGAACTTGTGCCGATTCGGTTCTCTTTCCCCACTTTCACATGGCCACTCCATTTTAATATCGCAAAATATTGTACAGTGTATTGGCGCCAAAATGAAAAAACTCATCATATGAAAATGACAGATTCCCAAATTCAAATGTAATATTTTGTTTATTTTTAATTGTAACAGTATTTATGGCCAGACTAAGTATACAAATGGTATGTATTTATTTATTATTATATACATGATCTTAAATAGAAAGAAGTTGTCGTGGTGGAACCACAAACTGGACACAGTTTTTCTGTACACCAGGACGTCGAACATGTTTAAATAATTAACTTATTACATACTTAGGCCAGTGACATACTATACAATATAACATTTTTACTATTAAACCATCAAAATTGCACGAACAACGTAATAAACCAATTGAAACATTGACGCTCCTCAGTTAGCCGATGCAAGAAACCTGTTCTTGACGAGAATTCTCATTCGAATACAGGAAGTGTTCCAATATGAATTAAATGACGATGTCTTATTTTTGTTATGCATAATTTGTAATTGTTTGATTTATGAAGTAATTTAAATTTAATATTGTTTCTTGTTATATTAGTAAATAGTGTAGCTGGTAGCGAGTTTAATAGATTTGGAATAATATAGTCTAATGTTTTTTTCCCATATAAATTATTGTATTTTGGTAATAGAAATTCGTTTTTTAATTTTCTACGTGTTGAATAGTGATAGTGAGTTGAGTAGGATATGGAATGTATATTTATAATAAGGTATATATTTTTAAATAAATTTCTATACAGAACCAGTTAAAGGCTCTATTGGTAAATATCCAGCGTATTTCCAAAAGCCTTGCGATTTTCATTAACAACTTTCCTCAAATGTTTATGTTTGCTATGTTTCTTTCAAAGGCTGGAATCATCTTAATTTTACAAATTTATACATTCCGGGGATTTTGAGGTATTGCTGTGGTTTTGTTCGAATTAAATATATTAAAATGTAGGTAAAACTTATTAAGATAAGAATTAAGATAACCAGGATCAAAATATAATTAATCGTATAGAAATATTATATATATGTATAACGCTTTGATGATATAGTGGCACGGCGTATAATTGTTTCCGTATGATTTGCACTAATAGTGGACTGCGCACTAGCTTTGAAAATCAATGCGAAACCAGCTGAAATAAAGAGTTAATGACACATAACAGACAATATTGACATTTTTGACAATCATATAAAGACATTATTAGCGTGTATACTTTCAGTAAAAATATATTTAATTAAAAAATTAACGGGGATTTTTTCAATGAAAGTCAATCAATGCACAAATCATATCAATATCTTAATCTAATAATTATGTTTACGGGAAATAACTGTTAAGATTATAAAAAGTTTAAAAGATTAAAGATAACAAATTCAACGGATGAATGCATATAAATAGACACGAATTAGGAGAAATGGTATCAATTGAAAAATTAATTCAAGGAATAAACATCAAAATGAAATACTTTGCAATTTTCGCCCTTGTCTTTCTTGCATTTGCCGCCTTTGCGCAAAGTGCTCCCGCGGGTAAGTAAAATTTATTTATCATATTATATTTACAATATATTATATTATTCCTTACCTATTTACTTTCCAATAATCATTAAGAATTTATACAAACCTAGCCATTTGTTGCGACATCCTACGGGAATGGCAAATTTCCGAATGATATTGAAGCATTTTTTGAAAAGTTTTATTGTTTATCAGAATGCCAAATCATAAAATGACTGCTTCACGACTGATTTGAGAGCGACCGCCGATGCGAAAACCGCTGTGTGAGTTCGAAAAGTGAGTTACAGAATCGCAGGGCTGTGCTTAGATCCATGAAGTTATTCTGGCTGAATTGAGAATTATGTGTTTTTGGCGGGTTCTATTTGCAATTGACCAACTAAAGTTTTAGTTAAATATTAATCTACCTATAGTAATCCAGTCAGTATACATTATTTATAAAAAGTTAACGCAAGCGTTAATGGTATGCACATTAAAAGAAAATATCTATAGTTTGTGACACAAACGTGATTTGAAGGCAAATTTAAATAAACTATTAAATTGATGGCATTTATAGCTGTGTACCCTAATAATCTAAAGTCAATTTACTTTAATTGTTGTTTCTTTTCAGACGTGGAAGTTCCATCGGATGGCGTATCTGAAGCGATTGAACTGTGGTCATCAAGCAGCGCTCGCGCAGGGGAATCACGCCGTCGTATTTGTACCGCACAGCTTTGTCGCGCGGTCTGCAGTTCGTTGGGATACCGCTGGTCCCGCTGCAATGCTCAAAGATACTGCATCTGCAGTCGTTGATCTATGACGCAATAAGATCAATCAGCATTATTTTTCTGCTTTATATTTTGATATTTTCTACTTTCGCTCTAAATAATATATATTGCAATAAATTATTTGTTGACTATCCTTTGTTTTAATTAGTTCGAGGTTATATATGTAATTCGATTAGAAGTCGAAATTGATTACCAGATGCAGAAGAATTTTTTTCATTTCTGTAATAGTAAACAAAGTCAAAACTCAAATTACTATTTAAATTATTACTTTTATTAATACTTAAATATGCTACCTATTTATTTTCATTACGTTGCTCTTTGCCGGGCTTTTTAATTACTTAAAATTTAATTATAAAAAATTACGTTCAACAATATTATTATTATATATTATTTTTTATTGTGGAATGTATTTGAATGTATACAACATTGGAGTTTTTTTTTGAATTCAAAGTAGGTAATTACATTTAAACATACGTATAGAACTAGAATAATTGACTACGGTAAAGAAATATTTAAAATATAAAATTTAGTTTGTGTGTGAAAAAGCGTAACAAGTGAAACTTATATAAAACCTTTGTTGTACGCAGAGCCATAATTGGTTTGTTTTAAGTTTAGAGGTCCGAAACTATTTCTTTAAACACAGTAAATTTTGATACACTGCCTAGCATACAATTTACAAATTAATTGCTGCAAATTGCGATTAGCAAATTTCAAGTCGAAAATGTAATCCGTTGTCAAACTTCAAAGTCAAAAACATACTATATGTCATATTTTAACGCCGATAAAGAAGTTTGACTTCGAAAATGTAATCCGTTGTCAAACTTCAAAGTCAAAAACATAATATATGTCATATTTAACGCCGATAAAGAAGTTTGACTTCAAAATGCAACATGGCGCGTAACGGAAAAATGTGACGCGTAACGCAAAAATGTTACACTAAATTTTTTCCAACCCCGATAAAGAAGTTTCACTTCAAAAAGAAATATAATACAATAACACCGACGATATAGCAATTTGAGATTTACATGATACGATTCAATATTAAAATCGTTATTGACGTTACGGGGTAAGCCTCTCAAAATTGAACAATGGTGGTTTTATGTAACTTTAACATTGGGTTTTGTACTACCTGATGAGAAGTTTGCTACATCATCTCAGCGAATGTTAAATAACGATTTAAATTGGGTATAAACACGTTGAAATCGCTGAATAACAGCTCTCATAGATCTACTTATAAAATTAAGGATAAGAAGGAATGTATATCATGAAGCCGTCAAGTTTATTACGTTCAAAAAATAACAAAACATTGATGATATTATGGTCACGTTAGTTAATTTATAGTTATAGTTTTACAATACACTTATATAATACAGGTTGTACATTCATCTATTATAATTTTATTCAGATTAGGTTTGATATCTGTCATATATAAAATAACTCTCTTGACCTACGCTCATAAACCCATAATAGAATTAAATTATGAAGAAACAACAGAAATAAAAGAAAAAAAATAGATACCTAGGTAACACTGAAAATGTTCAGAAAATGAAAAACGGCTTAATGTAGAAAGTTGCCAATACTTTTATTGTTTTTCGAAGTAGGTAATCTCCGTTCCTCTCTACAACATCGTCGAATTCGATGGAACCACTGAGAAAAACAGTGA